TCAGGAATGCCTCTCAGAGAGACATGTTTACCTGTGCTATCGACCAAAGAGGTATGCTATCTGACCGAATTAGCTCCATCAAATTGCTAGCCCAATTCTCACTCTACATAGTGATTCAGAAAAGGGGCCTCAGTTTCTTACCTAGAACTCACATTGTTATCATAAAAAATGTTTGCTAATACACAAGGCGCCCCGAAAGTGTCAGTAATAAAAAGAAGCAATTGGCAACCTTTGGAGTCTGGCAGCATACTTAGATATCACATATTATATGAGCCCCCTCAGCAACCCCCCAAAATATCCACATTCTACAGGAGTAATGTATAAATTTCAATGCCCCTCAATTTTTGGCAGAAATCACCTGAGATATTCAGGTAAACTAATTCGTATGAATTCTTTTGCGAGATATGGCTCAGCTCTAATTCATTGTGTGCCGATCATCTTCATTGTACTCAATATGAAACGTGCCAATAAAGTAGTAGCTCAAATTGGCTTTGCTAGCAGTTGATCTGAAGCCTAAGTGAATTGAACAAGGCAAGTGATTTTAAATGTTCAACGGTGCTTTTCTCTAATGATGTAACACATCTCATTGAATATTTCCATAATGTAGAGTTTTATATTAGCACTCCCGGCACGATACTCTGACTCGGTTGCGGCTATGAGTGCAAAGTCGGATAAATAAGTCGGATAAATAACATTAATGCATAAAATTCACTGCCAAACGAGGCTAGTAAGTTAACAAAGAAAGTATTCGTATTGAAAAGAAGTCTCATCGCCTTTGTATCAGCAGCTTCTCGAATTCAACCCACCCAGACACGAGAGATACCTCAAGATCAACTTGCCCAATGAAGCGGCTATTCTTCCAATCACCCTACACTGCACCGATTTCATCAGAAATTTCGTGAACACTACTGACCCGCTCATGAAAAGGTTCGTACATTTTACAAAAAAGATTATGCTTTTAATCCTGTTGAATGTTGCTAACCTCCCCATTTCTAAAGGTAAAACACGTTACTCTCATACAGTCTATCTGAAACAGTCCATGGGATGGAAACTATATTTCTGTGTCCGCCGAGAAATAGAAACTAATATAGAAAACAAAAATGCATGGCCATTTCATAGACGGCAGACTATACGAACCATCTGGAGGTTGTCTCAAGACCTGAAGCGAGCCAGAGCCGGGCACGATGGTTGCAGCGGACTGTGACAACCTAAAGTGACAAGGATGGGTAATAAACTCCGCGAACGAGGCTGCGTGCTTCCATGCTCCACATGCACGCCATACAAGGATCCCTAGTGAGATTTCTTCCCTTTGCTTTTTCTTTGCTTTTCTTTTCTGTTCGTTTAATCCTCGCGGTTCTTAATGCCATGAAAAATTTGTGTTGCACACGACGCGAAAGCAAGGAAAGTGGACAAACTCGTCCATGGGTGTTCCTGCATATTGCTCAAAACGGAAACTATAGAGCGTCGTTGACCAGAACCGCTGAAAACCCCTAACCGCCGTATCAAAGGAGCTTCACGGGCCTCACCAATTTATGGACAAGTTCCGATGCAAATGGGCTATATGAAGCCGCTATTTTTTCTTCTTCTTTCTTTTAGAAGCTAATGTTTTATTTCGCGTTCCTTGAAACGCGCTTATGATACGCAAAAAAACATAAAAAAAAAAAAGAAACAAATATCAATAGCATCCACCAGGCTTAGGAGGGAGGGGCCCCGGCCCGTACATGCAGCTTCGGCAACGACCTTTCACAATGGCCTTGACGGATAGCTAGGAGGAAATTATGGAGCAGTCTGCCCAACCGCATATGAATAATCCTACCCTAGCGATGAGAATATCCCGTCAAAAATGCAGATCCATATGTGACCTAGTCGAGCACATCATATATTCAGTTTCCAACATCATTGAACATCATGTAGAACGTGAAATTAGCAGGATGAAAATATTGGCTCCAAACCGGAGAGCATTTTTAGCTAATTTTGTGCGCGCAATATATCAGGTCAGAGAGACGAATATGAGGACGTTGGGCGATCCCTTCATTTGCACCTCGGTGAAGGTTTCAGAAATTATTTGTTCCGATGTTTTGAAACTATACGTTAACCTGAAGTATATCGCTGGGGTATTTATCCACAACGATGAGCACGTGCTGGCAAGAATCATAAAGAATTGGTGGATGGAAGACGGGAACAAGGAGCATCAAATTTCCACTGAGATTTTACGATAGTACAACTATTTTGGTGAATAATAAATTAAGGCTTATTAGGTGCCGCTTGCTCCCGTACGGTTTCGTAGATCGGCAAATCAGTTCATGAAAGGATTCCGAGAATAAGCACAGAAAAACGCTATTATTGGGTAGTACGGCAGCCTATAGGTAGTTAGTTTTTCTTCTTGTAAGGAGAACCCCGGAATCTTCTTACGGGTTCTAGACTGTCCGAAACCCCTGGTGAGTCGAAAGAATGAAAAGACAATAGCGAGTGCAGATAGCAAGGATGAAATAGTGCACCTCAACTGCATGCATAATTATGCAGGCTTTGAGGCAATAAGTGTCTATTTTTCAATGAAAAATGTAACTATCAGCATTGTCAGCACAAGCTACTCATCCATTGGTTAACAATTGTGGCTTTCTGAAGCCCTGTTCCAAATGAATCGAGTGGGAATCCATGATGGTGTGCCATGAACAACTGTTGAAACAATCTTTTTTATAGCTGTATGCATCATGTTTCCTGTCATTGAGCAGAGAACCACTGTGTTAAAATAACAGAACCTAAAACAGTGATGAAACTACCCCTTGAATGAAGTAATAGTACCAGGTAACACTTTTTTCATAATTCTGAAGATAGCAGATGCCGCAGAAATAGAAATGAAGGATAGGCCTAACCCATATTAAGCCGAAACTGAGCACAAAGTCTCTGGTTAAATATGTTGGCGGCAGTTTGAGTGACATCATGATAATGGTTTTCATAAAGCGAAAGCTATGGTGAATTTTGACCTCCATCATAATGAACACTTCACTGCTCCACTAATGTCTTCGTCCTTTGCCTGGATATCATATGGCCCCGATCGCTTGATGCTGATATTCTCTGAACTGCTATCATCGCTTAACATGCTAGTCGTCTGGATGAGATATGGAAGGTAGGTTCTCGCATAGAACGCCCATGTTCCTTTACTAGAATTGCCGCCACTTGCTTTCGCAGCAAGTTATGGGAACGGTTTTCACGGATACGTGATACATCGTGAGAAACAACATGTAAACCTCAGGTAGTGAGTTGAGGTCGTTTAGAAAATCTACTGTGTTGAAAGCTGGATCTGGACAAACTCCGGCTTTCCCGACGTTTAGCTTGGTGTGAGCAGTGATAGACAGGAGAAACCGAAATCCTACCTCCAAGTTAGACACAGCTTCGTCAAAAGAAGATTGAAAGAAACAGTAAATACGTTTAACTTCCAGATGGCACAATCCAATCACCCAGACAATAGAGAATCACAAGACGGGGAAGAATTCCTCACCCAACAAGATACCAGCATTATGCATGTAGTAAGGGTTTCTTCTACCACACTGTGGTAATATGAAGTTCTTAGAGATATCGCATATAATGTCCTCAAAAAAGGGTGTTTTGTACGGTGCATTTCTGGGGAACTTAGTGTGGAATGACAAATGCAACCTCTTGTAGCAATATCAATGGATAACAGTTCTGTTGATGTTGAGATAAAATTCCTGACTAGATTTAAACTTTTAGTTCTGCTTGCCAGAATGATTACGAAGACCAAGACTGCATCCCATCATTTTTGCTGTGTTCACGGTATCGTGGTATAATACCGGCCATCCATTCAACCGATTCTTTGTTTCTCTCTGACTTTGGAAATGAAAGGCACATTTTGCCTTCATGTTGTCGCTACATTACAAATAAAATTTTCTTGCCCGAAGCCCATTCACGGCGTGCATGCATAAAGCTGTGACGATCCAGAGTCAGTGGGCAAAAGAGACGAGAGCCGAATGCCACTCCAGAATGTCAGGAGCGTAAGACAGGAATTGGGCAAGCCAGTCAATACTGGACTTCAGGTCTGTCAGGAAAACAACATTTATAGTATTGTACCTTGTTATTTCTTACTATATGCTCTTCAAACATTTCGTAGCTAACAAATGACGTGCCAACCCACAGGAGATAGCATTCGCCAGATATAAGCGAATCTCGATATCCACAGCTAGTGCATTTGAATTGGTTCTCCCTTGTTTCTATTCTGGTCCAAATTGCCTATCAGTTTCTACAAGGTTATATCCAGCTTGAGCCGATCCTGGTTAGCGGCTACGCCTCGCCAACAATATGTCTCGTACAGATAGATGATCGCCACTAGGATCATCACCTTTGGCGACGTTTGCGCCTCAGCGCGCCACGCTGCGTGGTGGGGAGGCCTACTACGTAGAGCCGAGATTGGTTTGGAATCTGGGATGAGACAATGGAGTAGTCGGCTGGGGTAGTTTATGAGATCAAGCATAGACCGGTATGTAAGAATGATATCAATACGCAGGACTTAAACTCGTTGGCCTTATGGTCTGCGCCGTTGTGTTGCTCTCTGTAATTGCAGCTTCTCACTGATGACAGGACATGGCAGACAGGAGAAATTAGCAAGAAAGAGAAGGATCCATGGAAAAATTTTCATATCATGTTCTGCTTTTATCCCCTTTGCTGTAAGCTTCCTTTTATTTGGTTCCAATTCTTAGGAATGTCGCTCTAGTTGAAGAAAATTCAGTCCATTCCCAGAATCCAATGCTGGAAATGTGATTGGAACAGCAGCTTGCCAGTAAAACATTGTGGTTCAACTGGAAGAATGTGACTTCCAATCAACATTTCAGGTGGATTATTTCCCAGCTTGACGATGCGACAGTCACAATTGTCTGGAACACTTCATTAGGCCAGGATACCAATCACAATCTGGACTTCCTGTTCATCCAAAATGTCACATATTACAGGCCAGACGTTATGCTCATCATCCGTGGTTGCTTCGGCAATTTCCAGAGCTAACTCCATCACGATTGCTCCAGTTTTGGCCGCTGACCAACCTCCTTGAGCATTGATCCTGGTAAGTCCACTCTCAATATTTTCACCACCGCATGTAGAAACGCCCACTAAACGAATCTCGATGCAGATTGCTTGCGAAGCACAGAACAATTGGGTGCAATGTACAGAGGATATATCCATGGCTGGATTCTTTTCTCTGAAATTGATAACCCTGCCACCTTTTGCGCACGCCAGCTTCCACGAACCTTCGAATGTTACTACCCTAACACTTACGATTATCCTCGTTTGTAATCCTTGCTAGCGCTGGTAGCAAGTACGGCACCTCCCTTGCATGGTATCCATATTACCTGCAGCTGCATAACACCAAAAGAAATAAAATGAAAATCAAAGAGAATATTTAAGTTGAAAGCAATGAGCGTCAATGGTAAGCCAACAGGAAAAAAGAAAAATTCTCAAGTAGAGAGAAAATTTGAGAACTGGGATAACAATGGCTAATTTGTATCGAGTATTTCTCAGCCTAATCCGATTTTGTTGGTTATTTGCATATAATATCCAGGACTCGAGGGGCGGGCTATTCCATGCTGGCCCGTTCTCAGGAGCTCCCCCACAGCAAGGTTTTGTATACCCCCGTTCGCAAAACAGTCACTCCTTCGCATTCATCCTCCTCGCTCTTTATTACTCCGTACTATTTCGTTTATTAATTCGTTTTCTCCCACTTTCCTTCTCACTTTCCAGATTCTTTATTTGAATTCCAACTACTTTTTTGCATCCAGTGCTTCTTCCACTGGGACTGACTGTCGTTTCAATTGTTGGTGACATCGTTTGGTCAATCTTGGTTTTTTGTCATTACCTGTCCTTATCTCTCTGTTTTTCATACGACTGGGCGGATAGAATTCTCTCGGGCGGCATTGTGTTTGCGTACATCTAGAAGTTTCGGGGAAGTGAAGCCCCAGGTTCGCTTTATGTTAATATGGAGTTCGACAACGTGTATTTGGTTTGTTTTAAGATTTTATTGTTAGTGGGCTCCACCCAGGCAACTGTCAATTGGCGGTCGTGGGCATTGCTAGAGTGTTGAAGGCCATGAAGATTGGCTTCTGTGTCCTTTACTGACGTTGGGAATAAAATAGTCTCTATCGATATGTGCGTCTAGTTGTTAATTTGATTGCCGTTTGGACATTTCGGTCGATTCCTCCGCCAGAAAACCCGACTTTGACGTCTCAAGATGCAACTATTATCATACCTTCTCTACAGGGCTGTGGAGATGAATTGGAAGAAACGCTTCGAACCATTCTTCTGAACGAACCTTTTCAAATTATTCTTGTGACAATTGATAGCAATAGGGGGAACGCGGAGGAAATGCTCAAGGATATGCCAGCATCAAAAACCCGGATCAAATTGCTTAGCATCCCAAAACCAAACAAAAGACGCCAAATGGTGCGGGCTATTCCCGAGGTCCAGACCAAAATTACCGTTTTTGTTGATGACGATGTAAGCTGGCCACTGAAGGAACTGACATGGCTGCTAGCGGTTTTTGAAGATCCTATTTACGGAGGAGTAGCAACTTGCCAGCGGTTGCGGAGATCGGATGCACCTTTGTTCTCTACACAGCGAGTGTGGGACTTCCTAGGTGCGCTGTACTTGGAGCGCAGGAATTTTGATTGCGCCGCAACAACTCAGGTGGACGGAGGGATGCCTTGCCTCTCTGGACGTACTTCTGCTTACCGAACCAAAATCCTTCAGGACCGAGATTTCACCTATAACTTCACACACGAGGAGTGGTGGTTTGGCAAATATGAATTGAACGCAGATGACGATAATTTCCTATCACGCTGGATGGTAACTCACGGATGGGAAACATATTTCCAATACCACCCGGAAGTGGAAATCCAAACGACCCTCGAGAACAATGCAAAATTCCTCAAGCAGTGCGTTCGGTGGTCAAGAAGTAACTGGCGGAGTAATCTCACAACCTTGATCCAGGAGCAGGTTGTTTGGTAGTAAGTTTCTCTCCCCCCTCTAGCTAGCGTCACTCCATCCTCTTCACTTGACGAAGCCCCCTTCCCAACTTGCCAACCGTTCTCGCCCATTTCGCATTTCGCGAGCTTTGCCTTTTCTTTTTTGAGAGCGAAATCAGTGGCGAAATCATTGAATTCGTTAAGGAGGAATTTTGGCCTCCTTGGCCCTTTTGTTTTTTTAATGGTATTTTTTTTTTTTTATTTTTTTTTTTTTTTCTTTTTTTTTTGTTTTGCGGGGGGATTATTATTGATTATTCTTATGTGCATACGACTCCGTATTTCATTTTGCCTTTTTTGCGCTTTCTTTACTCGCCTGTTCTTGTCTTTTCTTCTTCCCTACTTTGCCCTTTTTAGCCCTCCTCTTGGACCTAGCCCCAGCAAATCGCGCAATCAAAGCCCTCTTAAGCCCTGGTGCAGAAGTTGTAAATTGACATCCAGCCTCATCCTTGCTATGATGACGAACCATAATTAGACCAGAAGCTAACATTAGGGGTCCGTGTTGGCAACCTCTTCCATTAGCCGCCAGCCATGGAGTACCTACGCCGTCTATCTTACCACACTTTCGCCTCCTGCCTTAATTGGGGATCTCGCCCTCGTCGCATTCTGCTATTACGGCACAAAAGAGTGGAGTGAGGAGTCTCGCATGTTCGCACTGAAATCATTAGTTACGTGGATGTTTGTTAGCAAATTCATCAAGCTTCTCGGTCATTACATTCGATATCCAGTGGATTTCCTCCTTCTCCCAGTTTCGATATTGTTCGGATATTTCCACGGACTGATAAAGCTTTACGCTGCATTTACTCTGAATGTGGTAAGTACCACTTCTCCTTGCTCCGTTCCCAGCGAAGTACAGACACATGTGGGTCAGCTAGTTTTACCAACGTTACTTGAACGTCTTGCACATAGTACCTGGCACTGGCGGGGGTTATTGGCAGTTGTTCTAGCCCTTCCTTCTTCATTCCGAACAGCCCCTTCGTTTGCCCACCCTGTAAATCTCCACTTCAAACGTGTGGGTTTCAGGCTAAGTGGGTCTACCGACTTGGTTGGCTGATATTGTGCAGTCCGTCACAAGCGAGCACCAAAATAGCGTCCTTCTCCTTCCATCTCTTACTGTGTATTGTACCAAGCGATGCCACTCTCTTGCAGGCAGGAAACACTTCCTCTATCATTCAATCGCTGACATGAATGTACTGTTGCAATTCAGACCACATGGGGCACCCGCGATGGTGCAGATGCTAGTGATGCCGAACGAATGCGAGAGAAGCCAGGCGACGAGAAGAATGCGTGGGCAAAGTATTCTCTGTTCTGGATCTCGAAGCAATAATATTTTGGACTTTTGTTGCGTATGTCCACGCCCTTACCACAAAATTCAGCAAAATGCAGAATTTTTCGGACCTGGCCGTATAAAATACGATTCTTTGTATTGCGGAAATTTGATACTGCAACAAAGACCTCCAGCTCCCCACTCCAAGCCCGCACGCCACTGTGCTGGCCTCTTACATTAGCTTATGGAGCCATCCACTCTGTCCCATGCTTCGATGCAGCATGCCAAATCTGGAAGCAACGATTTTCGTTGTCCAAGTCACGATGGAACGTGACAAATGCACGACATGCAATTTACTTTTTCTTACTCCGTACTCCGTCCTTATCCGTTTCAAGGATGGACCGACCCGTCCCGTTAACTAGCCATGCTTCCAGGTCCTCAACGATCATATGCTTTTTCCCTTCTGGTTCGACTTCCGGCTCAAAAAATATACCCCTATTTCGTTGTTACTTATTGGCGTCGGCGCACTTGTGATCGTCGAAATCACAATCAGCATCCAATGTCTTGCAAATCGTTGTCATTTCTGCTCTTCAATTTTCAAAAGTTACTTTTAATACCGTTTCTATTTCTTTTCGTTTTGTTTATCTCTTCCTTCCTTCCTATGTCTTATTTTCTTATTTTCTATTTTTTTTATTACTATTTTTGACCAGCACCGGATTCTAAAACATCACGATAATCACGAATCTTCTTGTTATTACGATCGAATTTACCAAAAAATCACGACAGTTTGGGCAATGAGAAAATTCGACAACAACCAACAAAAGTATAGAGCCCTGGGAATAACAGAACCACATTTCTTTGGGTCTTTTCGCCTTTTTGTCTCTTCAGTTCTTATTTAACTACCAAAAGTACATGGTTCAGGGTTGGAGCGATTTAATACTAATGTCTCCATGACACGGGAACAGACAAAGAAGGAATATTATTTTATGCTCAGCTGAGAGCTTATCTGCTTTATCTTATTTTATTTTTCAATCTGCATTCTCTTGATGCTGCTTTCAATTTCTTTCAAATTCGATAACGTAATAATGGTCTTTTCTTCAATAGTTACTACCTCGGATTCTTGTCTCAACCTCATGTTTACATTTCTTTCAAAAAGTTCTGGTTAGGAATATAACAATTTCAACTCTGTTTTCTTATCTTGTCTGATATATTGATATTTGCTTACATCTCTTGATATATATATACATACTAGTATATATTACTCACTTTATTCTTATCCTACTACATTCAATACCCAAGTTCACAAGGAGCATGTTTGGCAGAAAAATCCCACGTCTGTTGATATTTCATGTATTGAGAATTCTCTTTAATCGATTTGCAAATTCCTGAGTTTGTCTGTTCCCTTTTATGGCCCTTTTTACCCACATTCCTGGCCGATGTAATGTGGCGATGTCGAGCAGAGGGGAAGAAATCCATTATTCGTTTTAATCAGACAGGAATAAGGGATAGAAATCACAGGCGGCCTTAACCGGATGGGGAAATGTCCTAGAAAAATGCTTTGTAGTTTAATGTCATATAATAGTACTATAATTCTTTTCCACAGCCCCGAATTAACTCCAGTACACTCCAGTACAAGGCATATTTCATGCTGAAGTAATTTTCTAGTAGCCGTGATCTCAATTTCATATACAGCCTCCTGCCGTGTTTAAAACTATAATCATGATAACTTGAAAGAAGATAGTCCAAAAAGCAAACAACTTCTGCGCTCTAGAAGTTGATATTTGCGACTACATGGGATTTTTATTATTCCTTTCATAAGCGTGCTCATCATTAGGGAGTTTTCCACTAGAGACATAGTATAAAGCCAGGCAAGGTATCAGCTTCACTAACAGCCGAAAGTCGACCACCCGGGCAAGAGCCCGTATTTCTAAAATAAGGCCTTTGCTCAAGCAGTTTGTCTGTTCTGCAGGTCACTAGTTAGCACGGGGTTCTAAAGCAGAGTGCAGAATAGTGGAGGATATTATGTGGACGGAAGGAACCCTGAAATGAAAACAATTCGGAAGCATCAAGCCAACGATTATATAGCATCGCTAGAGGAATGACGACACGACCATTTTAGTCTGTGTCCTGGTGTCTAGGGCGTTGGACACCGTTATGCTCTTTTCTTTTTCTGGAGACATGCATGATCTCATAATTCCCATGATCGCCCAAAAGAATGGACACATTCACCCTAATGTACACATCATGCGGGACGCTTCATTTCACGCGCATGGGGCGCCATATTTCTGGGATACGTCAGGGTTCTTAATGGCGTGCGGATACACTGCAGGTACCTTGGAAGATCGGTGAGATGTGAAGCGACGTGCGTGTGCCCATGTGTTGGTTGTCAGTTACATTGTAAGTAAGTTTCTTGGTATATTCTGCGCTCGGTTCCCTTCCAGGGATGTCCATGCAATAATAAACCAATGCCATAAATCGAACTGGATTCCGGTATTGGAAAATACACGACGCAAGGACCCCTCTTCGCAGACTCCTAGATAGAGTCATTGAATCAACGGTGTGATCTTCGTCTGCTAGTGTTGAAGTGGATCGCAGGAGAAGTGGTCCAGATGCAGACGAGCAGATGTGCTTGCCTATAAAGGGCAAAGTTATTGCTTTAGGCGTGTCGGGACCATAGCGTGCTCCCAGCACTTGATATCGTTATGCTAAACAGAGGGTTTATTAGACGCCCATGTCTTATCGACAGTTCCCTTTATCTTTCCACGTGGTGGCATGATGTCCATTCGGCAAGCAAAACGCAGCTCTGACTTGCGCGAGTCGTTGCTAGTATATTCGCTGCTCGAGAGGGAGATGCAAGCCCAGGTCAGGCTAATGTAAGCATCAACATGGGGTGGTGTTTGGGATTAGTGACGAAACCAAAAATTCGTAGGGACTATTCCCCATATCCGTAAGGCTGTCCAAGCCGATTTCGAGACCTTGTTCCATGCGAGACCCGCTTTCTGATATTCTAGGTGTGTTTCAGGTTACTCAAGCTTATTCCAGCTTCATTGCCTTCTGTTTTTTTTTAACTCCGTTCCGTAAACGGGATCAGTCATCGGGCATTCTTTTCTGCAGATGTAGAATTAGTTTGACTATATTGGGTAGCTGCAGTGATCCAGAGGAGTGGAACATAACAGGTTTCAATACAAGCAATTAAAAAGGAGACCTGACAAGAGGGTGATATGTGAGAATTCCAAGTATCATAGCTTCTTGACACCTACTCAAAGGGTAAACACATAAACAGCTTTTAATAAACCACTGTATTCTCTTTTTACAGAAATATCTGAAACCCCTTGCTGTGAAGCAAGGCCAATGACACAACATAAGACATTAAAAGCATATATTTCAAGATTGCATTCATCACGAAAGGTTCAGGGGGATTGGGACAATGGAGAATGGAAAGACACTAGCTGCTCATTCGCATCAGTTCAGCGTTTTAATAAGTCAGGAATCCACTTACGATCTCCCGGTGGCTTTTCCAGTTGACTGGCAGCCACACTTAACCCATGCGCCCATGAAACAATCGAAATACTTTTAAACGGACGGACAATTCCATGCAGCAGATACTACTTCTAGCATCTATTCCAAGCTCTGGGAGTATTCCCTTCGCCCCGAATTGCCACAGAATTGGTCCCAAAACAATTGCATATATCTTTGCAGTGAGGCAAGTCATGGCAAAGCACCTTATGCCAGAATATCTTTGGTCATGCGGTGCTTCTGAAGTTTCAGCGCGGCCGCCCCAACCCATCAAAGAATCCAAGGATGAAATCATAGTCATGTGATTTGTCAAGATAATCTAAACAATTCCTGCCAACTCAAGCTTTCTTTTGATATGAAAAGAATAACAACTCTTCGAACTGTGCAGTAAGTCTGGTCACTGACTTTGAAACGCCCATGTATAGATGTCAAATGCAACAGGAGTGAACTCTCAAAAAAGCTATAAGAGCATGCAGGCTCACTCAGGGAGGGTGGACAAACAGTGGCAAGGCATTGGGCATTACAGTGAGCTATACACACCCTTGGTTGTCATTGTAGTCATTGTACTGTACAAAAAGAAGTAAATAACAACAATAGATAATCACAGCATACAAAATGAGACTTAATTCATGTCTGTCATAAGCTTCTCAAGATATTATTCGTTGACCTTTTTTTGTGATGGGAAAGTTTGTGGAACCCTTTGCTAATAATTCCAGCTTGTCTAAATTTTTTTCGGAGGAAGGCGCAAGGTTCCGTTGTTGCGTAGCTTTTCTTGAAAAAATGAAAAATTAACACATTGAGTATTTTTTTTCCGAGACCTGATTCCGAAAATGGCACTTCCGCTCAGATCATTCAATATAGCATGTCCAGCTTCATCACAAGCAGAGCTCCGAATCTCGGGAGAAATAGCTGGCACTCAACTGAGGGCAGGGAAATCATTGCGTTGAGGTGGTGAGGTTTCATTGTCAAGAGGCAAATAGAGTAATACTACGCCAACCAGGTGCCCACTGAGTTGGTTGTGTGTCAAGCACCTGGAGATTCATTGTGTCTGTCTTGTATACAGCTGGCCTCCTGGTCAATAAGCCTGGCAAGAGAAAATGGCACATTCTGTGCATTTATCCCAGCTGTGGAATCAACTAGTTGATCAATATCGGCCGCACCGCCTTCCAGAAGCTGTTTCTCAACCCCTCTAGTAATATTTTCTCATAGTAGGTACTGAAATGGATGCGTCCATAGGACGAGCATTGAAAGACGAGAATTATCTCATGGATCACTGTTATGGATTCTTGGAAACTGTCATTGAAAAATTTAATGAATGAATTAAATTTAACAGCAGAGCGTCCATGTGAAGGGGTGGTCAGATCAAGTGAAGCCTTTGATGGAGATATAATCAGGAACAGCACCATAGACTATGAGCACTCGCCTTATTTTCGCGGCTCCGAACAGGGCTAGGTATGTGTGTTCCGAGTCACAAGAAGGCTTTCTGAAACTTCCACTCCACCCTCATGGTTTTCAGGACCGATCCTGCGTTGTAAATTGCAGCAGCTGTTCCAATTGGAGATCGCGAAATAGTGAGTATATCGGTTCATAGCTGGCATGCTCCTCTTCCACTTGCAATGAGGTCCCTATCCAAGCGGTGAATTGTGCGTGTGAGACAACTATCGCTTCTTAAACGATGACACCCGGTTGGGGCTGATATTGTACACTGTAGTTCAGAAAGGGTGACGCCTGCTGCAATGCTCGAAGGCGAAAGTCTTGTGGATTATGTCGTGATAGACTGTTATCAAAAATCGTTCGGCTTAAGCCATCCGTGGTCATATGGCTAGAAAGCTCAGTCCACCCATCTGAGTAGCTCTTGTTCATGAAATGCAAGCGTTTCTTAACCAAATCTCTCTGCACTTCTAGAGGAATGCGTACGCTGGCTAGTGGGGAGAAGGAGGAGGATCGACCTTGTAGCTGCAGGAACGTAGAAGAAAGCAAATAATAGAAGATAGAAACCCGATGCCGTGAGGAACAAGGGTTGGGAGAACCAGAGACAAGCAACCAATGTATGCAAGCCACAAAGAGAGTGTAGTGTGGCTGTGCATAAATTACAAATATTGCATGACCAAATAAATCGTAAAGAATTTCGATGTCCCAACTCCAAAGCTGCAACCATGAAATCAATCCCAAGGATACCTATCACATTTAATGCTAGGACTTTTTTAGGTCTGACCGGGGTTACGGCGCCTATTCCCTCGCGACGTATACACTCATCAGCAGCAAAAGCGGCCGTTGCGCATCCCATAAACGTCAGAGGGCCACCTCCAAAGCCCCCGGCTCCGTCTCCCGAATTCGTCGAGCGCATTGAGCGGAGAAAGAAGCAAGCAGACCTCATACAGCAGGGCAATGTCGCAGATTCAGGACAAGGTTCGGCGTCTTCGAAACCGCTGAAAAGGCGATTTTGGAAGGATGTGCATGTTAAGGAGGTGGATGGTAAGAAAGACAAGCATCCTTTCTGTTTCCTAGAACATAAATCAGGGGCGTAATGCGAGTGCAATTGAGCTTATTTTTATATTTTATTGGTTTTATTTATTCCTTAACAACGGAATCGTTGATTGGCGGAGAAAATGTTACTGATACGTTAATTATTCTTTATGATTTATGCACAGATGGGTATCAAATCTTCCTAGACTCCCGCGCCGTCCGAACTCCAGCAAAGAAAATCCTCACGATCCCCGCTTCAAAACCACATCTAGCACACGCCATCGCGCTCGAATGGGACCTGCTAGTCTCCGCCCAGCAAGCTCTAAAACAGCACTTAATTCCATTAACCTCCCTCACGGCAAGGGCACAAGATATCGCTGTGGAAGATGCCGCCGGTCAAAATACCATCCGCAACCAAATAACGAAGGCCACAATGCGATATCTAGACACGGACCCGCTGCTAAGCTGGGCGCCAGAGAAGAGCATCCATGATCCAGATGTACACGACCTGACCGGGAAGGAGAAATCCCCTCTCAGGGAGCTGCGAGACCTCCAGATTAGAA